TGCTGAACCCTGAATGAACAATCCTAGAACAAGAAGTTTAAATGTAGACAATTTATCAAGTCTCCCTTTGCATCACATGTATTCTAAAGTGATACGGTTGCATTTTACTCAAGCCTTGTTTTTATTCTCCAGCACAAGCCTGCAGTACGAAGGGCCGCTGACCTGCTTCCCAGTGGTCCCTGCCTCTTCTCCGATGCTGCTTAACTTCCTCTCCCCACTCTTCTTCCAGCCATTCACTGCTGTATGCTTTACATAAAGCAGCGTTGTCAAACACATCACAACCTGTTCAGAGACCATCACAGAGTACTGAAGAGGATCAGCTATCTGAGTTAAAGAGCTGTGCTTTGGCTTCACAGTCAGTGTAGTAAAAATATTTTGTAGCTCAGTTTGAAAGAGCACAGCAGTAGTTTTCAAAATAACCATAAAACTCCCTGCTCATCTTTCCTCTGCACATTCCTGTGGAATAACCTGGGGTGGCTGGATGGGGGTACCTGCCCGTATTGTAACCCACCAAACTTAGGCAGGTTCACCGCATTCTCCCTGCTGCAGAGGACATACTCCAGACCTTCAAGTGTGGTCTTGAGGACTCTACTCGAGACAGCATAGCCTTAGCCTGAGACAGTCTCTTCTTCCAAGATGTCCCACACATACTCACAGGAGAAGATGACCTGGCAGGCCGTATCTGTTGCAGTTGTGCAGCTCGCTTTGTCTGGGTATTCCAAAACGGAAAGAAAATTTCCAGCTGCAGACTTTGTAGGTCCGGAGCTTTGTTTGCAAATTTGCATATTAAATCAAGCAGGAATAAAGCTTAAAAGATAATCCTAAAGTCTCTTCCCCGGTCCCCCAGTTCCCTCCTCTATCCAAGGAAAGTATTCAGACTATCTGAAAAGCACAGGCCTCAGAGATGGGATCTGATTTTTTCTGATTTTTAGCTGACTGCAGGGCTATGTTCTTGGTGACTTACCTCTGATAGAATTGTTTCTGTTTAAATGTATACACATATGCACTGGTATACACATATGTGCCAGCAAGGAAGGCTTATGAAGTTAACCTGTAAGATAGCTAATTAACATGAAGATGAGCTGCTCTACAGTTGTGACTCTCTATTGAATGTTGTGTTGAACAGTGAAATGCCACATGCCTCTTCATTCTTAACACAATATGTTTTTATGAAAAAATGATGTACCTGACAGAGTGCAAACAGAAAATGAATGTGGACATTTTCCTGCAGATTAAGGGTAGTTCAGGAGCTATTGTAGCTCCTCCAGTTCTGGAATGAAGTTAATACCTTTTAGATTATACAGATATCCTTTACCAAATGTTTGGTTTGTTGATGACCAAAAGCAAACTTCTTTCTTTCTTTTGGGTGAGGGACACCTGAGGACAGTTTTGTGACTCAACCATTAAACATCTGTTGAGTTAAAAAAAAAAATAAATAAAAAAATTGATAAACTGTTTTAAATGCAGCTTGAACGAAGTTCAAAAGGCTAATTTTGATTGGGCTGATAACACTAAAGTTACAGCATTATATCTAAATTTCAGGTGATAACATAAGATCAAATGTGTCACAAACTGAAATTGTGTACTAAAAGATGATTAGAAAAATGTCATTTAAACTCCAAACCGAGTTTCTGGCTGGGCTCTTGGCAATATTTACCTACTGTAAGCTATCCTCTGAAATTCTGGGCTTTCTGAATCACATACTGATCGATGATCTAAATGTATGTCTTGGAAGACTAGGATACTTGATGAATCCCCTCTGAAATTAATCAATGGTCTTACTCCACCACCCAGAGGACACCACAAAAATGCCAGCAAAACTAATGAGAAGTGACAATCTCTTATGGCATTGGAACAGAGTATCCTGTCATTGTGTGGACATGAAGAATGAGCGCTCTTAAAAGATGTCTCCTTATGTTTTGGCTAAAACATTTTGCAGTGAAAACAAGTTTCTATTGCTGCTGCTTTGGTTTTGTGAAAAGCATGGAGGTTAGTGTTCCATGGCTGCAAATTTGGTTTTACCTGCTATCAGTATTTACTTGGTATCTGTATTTGCTGTGAACTAGGCTGTGGCTTCCAGAGGGGAAGGTCACAGTGCCTCCAAATCCTCTGCATGATTTGCATAAAGACAATACAGATTTACCCCCACCCCCCATGATGGTGACACCAAAACAGGAGGAGGCTGTTCTGAATTGCAGTAGCAAGAAGAAACGGAAACAGGTAGTGTGTTAGCCTTAAAGCTGCCGCTCGCTGTTACCCTGGCAGGGCTTCATGCAAGAGAAATCTTCTCAGTTACCTTCGGTTCTAGCTTCTATGAAAATGCCAGGAAAACAATCTGGAAACTATGTTGGTCTGAGATCCAGTTGTGTAACTGCAATAAATGCTAATAAAACCCTTGCATGGACGATGCTGTTTACTGCAGAACGTATTGGTCTTGGAGTTAGCTCCATGCTACAATGAAACAGCAATGACCGGAAAATATGTTCTAGCAAGGTCTATTAAGTCATGTTTACCCACACAATTACCTTAATTTTAAAATATGAAAACGTCATAAGGTAAAGATAGGCCTTTGGGTACTGCTTCTTCTCCCAGAATGCTAACTTTAATAATTTTTCATATTGATTTTTTCTTTTCCAGCACTACTTCCACTCTGTTTTACCGAACCTAAAATTACCCACATTCTCTTACCGTTTCTGTAAATTTTCGTCCCTCTTTTCTTGCAGTAATGGTTGGTAGTGGATGGATGGAGATGGCTGACTGGAGGATAAGAATTACTCAAACAATATTCTGGTTCTTTAATCTGTGAATTTTGCTTATAAAGTCAACTTGACTCCTAAATAGATCCTGCTGTGCCAAAAGAAACTTTCCTTTCATTTTAAGGCGTCAACATGTCTGCAGCCACTCGTTCGCCCCAGACAGCCTTTGCTTTCACAGGTCTTGCCCCTTTTATTCATTTCTCTAATAACTTCTTTAGAAATTCTGATTTAATCAGTTTTAATCTATAGGTATCAATGTGCAGCTTTAAAAATGAAGAATTAATGTTCAAGGAGCAGCCTGATCACTTCTTGCCTCATCAAAGACCCTGCAAACATTTCATCAGCTATAACCTCAAAAGCCATCCATTTATAATCCATAGTCTGTAGATGTAATATATCTATGCTGTGTAGTACCTATAAGTAATGTTTAAATTATTGTTTGTTTACCGGCCGGGGCTATGTGCAAATCATTAGTATCAATCATGTATGTACACTTATTTAGCTTACTCTCATAATTGTAGTCTCCTTGCAAATCTTTTCCATTCTGAATTCAGATGATGCCTCAGCTCCCGCGCTGGAGACTCAGCCTCAAGGTGATGAAGAAGGTGAGCATCAACAGGAATTTAACAATTCGGTACTGGACTATGCAGTACAGACCATATACCACAACGTAAAATGCTACCTTAGAGTTAGGGCAACTGCTGGAGCAGTTGGAAGAAATTGCAAGAAATTGAAAGCATCTATACCTTTTTTGCAGATAAAAACAGCAAACACAGTAGAGTCTGTACTTACAAGCAACAAATTTTCTGTGACAGTTTTGAGATGACACTGCAGCTATGGAGTCTGACGTTAGCGATTTTAATTGCCACTACTCAGGTCAGAGACAGGTTTTAAACTTGAGCCAGAGCGCAGATTAAAACTGTACAGCTAAATAAGGAAGTTAAAGGGTAAATTCTGTCCTTAGGATATTGCCTAGTAATGTTAAAGTTGATGTTTTGTCAGGCTTATTTGCCTCTGGGGAAATTCAGTGCTCGGTAAATGGAAAGCTCAAGGCCTATACGGAATGATAGTCCTGTATTGTGGCTGCCTTACTACTCACTGCAAATCTCACGGAATCTGATCTGAAGTTGTTATATATTTTGGTTCCACACTGGAAATTTTTATTCTGATTAAATATAATTTTAGTCTAAAAGTATTTATTTCAACCTTTTGTATGAATGGGATAAGGAAGAAACTATTCATGACTTTGCACAAGTGCAGGTTGTTGCTGTCCCAATACAAACCAGGGTGCCTTTTTCTTTTTTAGATCCATTTATCTTTAAAACTAGCCACTTACTTTTTAGCTGCTAGTAACTTGTAACGTTTATTTATTTAATTTTACATTACATATAAAAGTATAACATTTACAAACTTTTTTCTGTTGTTGTTTTTGTTTTTGGTTTGTTTTTTTTTTTTTTTACCCTAGATATAGCTTCTCGTTATCCTACGTTATGGACTGAGCAAGTAAAGAGTAGACAAAACAAAACCAATAAAAGCTCAGGTAAGAACTTGTGTTGTCCTTAGTTTGCAAAGCTCCTGTGAAGGCATGCATTTATCCTTGTTAAAACTGAAACTGTTTAAGTGAAAGCTATTTTAATAACCATTATGTTTCCACTCTTACACGATAGCAACTTATTGATTTGCTTTGTGATGGTTTTGTAGGCTCACACGTCTTATGTTCCTTTTGTATCAAAACATTTTTGGGCAGGCTTTATTAGGTGTAAATTGCCATTACTGCACTAATGTCTCTGACTCACATCTGTTTGCATCTGTGAGTGGATCTGACATTTATTTTTTGCATCCTCTTTAATTCTCTATCTCTTTGTTATCTACTTGTATTTTCTTTTTCTTTTGGGTGATGTGTTGCAAGAAGGTGCTTGGGAAATGACAGGGTGGGTTACATGTGTTTGGTGGGAAATCCTAGGAGGCAAACCTGAAAAGCAGCAAACTCCCATCAGAAACCAGCTGTCAGTTAACAGGAAATTGGAAAGACAGTGTTACCTGATTTTTGCTGCATCACTCACCTGTTACTTACAGACTGATCACCAGTTTAGTGTGGATTAATTATGTTGACTTTTTTATAATTGTTAAATTTTGGCTTTATTTTTTTCACAACTCTTCAGAGTTGAGCTTTGTAAACCTGGACTAGGCATGTCAGGTGAATGTCTTAAGCCTGAAGCCTCTAAAATATTCAGATACATTCAGTGCTTTGGTGGACTGTAAGTTTTGATGCCTTCCTCACCGTTCCCTCCTTTCAGTGGAACAAATGTCAGAAAAACTTTCTGAGTTTCTTGGTTTCTTTTTCTCTGGAAAAAATGTTTTGTGTGAAAGGAGACATTAATGATACAGGCTACGACTTAGTAAATCACCCAAAACCACACTTCAGATCCAGTAGAAATTGAGGTTGTGCTTTACATTAAGTACTGTGCTTAAGTATTTTACTGAATTGAGACCCAAAAGGACTTAACAAGACAAGCGATCATCATAAGAAAGAAAGAAAGACATATCCTTACTAAAAGATTTACAGATTCCTTTATATAAGCTATTTTTAACATCAAAACAATAATTGTTAATACTTTTTCCTCTCCTTGATTATCCAGTAGGCACTTAAGGGAAGGACCTTTAACACAGTATAGACAAGAAATTGGAGCAAACACTTTATGTGCTGGAGATTTATTCTATCATTTCTTTAGTAAGTGCTAGCAAAACCAGAATTCCTTTGTGATTTCTGCCATGTATAGTGTATAGAAATATGTCACTTTTAAGAGTGTTTATTTCATTTTTACGGTGCTAGAGAGTAGCTAGATCTAAAGCAAGAATTCTTGAGTTTGCAGTGCAGCTGCTGGAAGTGAAAGCTTAAAGACATACACAAAAAATTAGGAAAGCGTGTAAGAAAAGGTGTGTTAATTACTGGGAATTTGTAACCTCCAGTCCATCTAAGGACATATTTACAAAGGAAAAGAAACCAGGAGCATAGTCTACCTGTTTTATGATTGCTAGCCCATGGTGCATTAGCATCAAAAGCATGACTACGTTGGATTTGCTAACAACAGGACTTGCTCACTACCCTACTGTGTACAGAGGATCTCTGGAGGGCTAGCACACGCTACAGTCTGTGTTGCCGTACCCAGACTAGGAGGAGTAAGTCAGCCTTGTTGTATTTTGTTGTAGCCAGCCCTGCCGTATTTTGTAGGCATACCTGATGCACTAGAGTGGACCACTGCTCTCTCTGCTGTAACTTCTCTTGTATATGTAATATGACATAATCAGCCAAGATGAATGTAGATGCTAAAAACAGTGTCTTTACCAGGCTGTGCTAGGCAGTATCTCTCTTCTAGACTCTAAAAATAAATGTGTGGAATGTGACCATATATTTGTAAGTTGTTTTGAGCCTCACTCATAATCAGTAAACTGGTCTTTTAAGGTCTTGAAAAAACTAGGTTATGTTTTCCCCTTATTATTTCTGTGAGAGGTGCCAAGGCTTTTGGGAACATCCACAGAGAATGAACTCTGGGCTGCTATGTGTACAGAATAGGAAGGACCTTGTGACTGAATCCACTGGATTGTAAACTAACCACCTTTGGACACCCGTGCTTCAATATAAGGGATAAATACAGATGTCTTTACTCAGTTTGCTTAGCAAACTCTGATTCAGACTTAGTCATACAAACACCAGAAAGCTTATTGAAATGTATCTGTCTGAGTAAAATAAGGAGAATTTATGTCTGCATATGAACTGTGTTTATAAAACAAAATATGAAACCAAATTTATTGATAAGGGACTATTTTTTCCTTTGTTGTTCTATAGTAACCCAAGTGCTTTCAAAGAAATTCTTCAGGTGCAAATAACACTATGACCTAGCCGTGCCTGTTGAAAATAACTAAGGAAAAATAATAAGGCTAAAAGTTTCAGGTAAACTCCAAATATCCTACTTAAAAGCTGACTATTTTAGTCTGTATTGTTTTTTGGGTTTTTGTGGTTTTTTCTTCTTTTTTCCCCCCCCTAGCTTTGACCTGAATATATGGTCACGGTGAACAAGTCATGGTATTAGAGAAACTTGTCTCGACCTGAGAAATCAATCTCCTTAGGAGAATGTTGTTGTGAATTAAGGAACACAAATGAATACATTAAATTTATTGTACTCATCCTGAAACGGTTTGCTTTGCTACTCTGCAAATGACCTGCCAGTTACAATTATCCAGTAAAATCAGCATAAGCTTTTAGGTTTTGGAAGATAGAAAAGAATAGTTCAGGAAATTCTAGTTTATATTAATTATCCAGTGCTTTCATTTGATTAAATCAGCCTAAATTAATTTAGCACAGAGTATTGGCATTTGGGAGACTTACAGATGCAGGGCATGAAATTACTGGATTATGTATCCATGCTCTATAATGACTTCTAGTGCATATTCTTTTTCTTGGTTCAGAGAAATAGGCCTTTGCTGCTCACTACAGACATCTGTAGAGTGGAATTTAACCTACTAGCTTTTGATGATAAAATGTTATTGCAGGCAAAATCCCCGTAAAAATGGCTCTGTTTAGTGTGGTGGATTTGGGTAGAAACATCTCCATTTTAGATCTTTTTGTACGTTGAAGATGATTTTCAAAATTTTTGAAAAGTCTTTTTCTTGCTAAAATAACATAGTGTTTGCTGAGATTATGTTTTATACATATGCCTTGGTGACTTTGCAGGTATTTTGCAGATTTTTTTGTTTCTTCTGGATTTCTTTTTACCCCCAGACTCTTCATTTCTTCCTCCATTTCACAGAAAATATTGTGGGTTTGCCACATCTGATTGACAAAAATAAGAATTATAACAGCAGCTATCAAAAATAAACAGAAATGCATTGAAAACACTGAACATGGGACTATACGGGTTCTGATTAAGACATCAAAATGTAGCAGCCTACACGCTGCTGTCAGTACGTGACGTCAGTGCCTAAACTCCTGCTGTAGTTTGTGGAGATGGTCAGCGCGGTCAGTGGAGCCTAGGGAGCAGCCCACCTCATCGTAAAGCCAACGCCTGCACTTGGCCAGCTCACTAGATAGCTGGACCTCACTCAGTGCGGTGGCTAGTTTAGATCTCTAGCCTACATGAAGATATTTATACTTTAGAAGAACTTTATCCCACCCCAGTATCAGCTGAAAATCTAGGTAGTATTCTGTTAGAGCTTTTGTATTTTGTAAGGACCACAGGACAGACGGGGGTTTTGCCTTGAAGAAAGTGGGTATTTTGGACTATGTCTTCAGCAGTTGCCAGTGACTGTAGCTTCAGGGCTAGGTGCAACCTTGATGTGGGTGGAGAACACTACATGACAGTGCAGATACTTTCCTATCACCTAACAGGGAAAATACAGTTCCCTGAGGAGAGCTCAGGTTAGGCTGCAGATCTCTGAGGTTCTCCTTGCTACATCTTCTCTACCAGCAGTTTATATTCCTGTGGGATTCTTGAGAACGAAATGTGACATTTTTCAGAGGATCTATGCCCTTTTTTTGAGTTTGAGTATCAGCAAAAGAAAGCTAGTTTAATCCTTTTCACAATGGCCAGTGAAGCTTAGGATTCATTTTGTTAGCTCGAATTTAAGAGCCAAATTTTTCTAATAGTTTGCTGTTGGAACACTTCCATGAAAAATACATAGGGTGAGTTTAACTGATAATATTGTTAATGTTCAAAAAAAATCTTAAAGTACAGAATAATTTCTAAGTACAGTCTGTACACCACACAAATGAGAATAAATAATACTCAGTATAAAATTTCATTAATTTTACAAATGCAAGGATGCAAAAAGTCATCCATATCTGAAATATACTTACATATGTGCTTCAGGTCTTTAGAGATTCTGATGATAATATAATTCAAGTTGAAAGAGCCAGGGTTAAATAATGTATCATTGGCTAAGACACAGTACAGTTTCACATATTTACTCTTCAGTTCTATTCTCTTGTTATTAATAATTTTGTATTCTGTTTCCTTGAAGACTGAATAGGATGGCATTATTAGCACTAATGATTTATATGTTCATTGATCAGTTGCATATTTCATTTAATGAGCATTGTAAAGTGATTGAAAAAGTGGTGTTTGTTTTGTTGATAATCTGGCATGACCAGCAAAATAGAACCCAGGAAGAAATTGTTGCATTTCTTTGTACTTTACTGAACTGGACTTTGATTCACGTGTTAAATTTTAAATGCATGAAATGAGTGGGTAGAAATTTAGGGCCCCTGGCAGTCAATGGCAGAACTCCCAGACAGGGGTTGAACAGCCATTCATACTCTGACTACATGGTGCTAGTTCACCCCGTAGTTCACATTTCGTCTGGATCAGGCACAGACACATGATGTAGTGCTTGTGCCAGCTTCGTGCTTTCTGCCAGCTTTATGCCTATATGCTTTAAGCAGGTGCTAGAGGACAAGCCATACGTAATCCAGCATAAAATAGGGTTGGCCCAGAGGAAACCCTGTTCTAGCATAAAACCTGCTGAGGCAGGGTCAAGCTGTCA